AGGGATTAAATAAGGTACATGTAGAGTGAACAGAAAATAAATTCAAACAAAAAAGATTCAAAACAATAATTATACTTCTAGACATCAATAAATGTATATACAAATTAATAAAATTAAAAAAATGACAACAGCAATAATTATATCAATAAATGTGCTGCATACTTTCTTCAGTTGGTGTATTCGTAGCTTCATTTCTGATTGCTTCTGTTTATCTACTTGACTGTTAATGCTCTTCATGAAAGAATCCAGTGAATCTCCACTTCCACTGATACCTAATAGCAATAGAAATAATAGTGATCACTAATCAGGCTATTATATCACTCCATAAAACTATTAATAATATTCCTTTTACCTTTCTTAGAGTTTTCTAGTGATTGGTGTAACTCTTTTAGTTCTGTCTCTACAGCAGCTAGTTTGGAGCTCTGCCAAACAACAATACACAAAATAAAATGATTGTATTATATAGACACACATTGTTTGTTATTTACTAGTGACTCATAAGTCTCCACAGTGTCTTCAATTTTGCCAACTCTCTTCATTCTTGTCTTTCTTTTCTTATTAACTACAATAATAATAATAGTAATAATAGTAATAATAATAATAATAATAATAATAATAATAATAATAATAATTTAACAGCATTAAATCCCCATTATACAAATACAGCACTTCCAGTAGTAACACAAGTATTCTGAAAATACATAATACATATGTAGCTTAAAAGAAGATGTGAAAAATGGTTTGCTCGTTTTTAAAATGCTCATAACTCAAAAAATATTTGTCGGAATCAGCTCAAACTTTCTACATAGCATAAGGACATCAATATGCATCAGGAAATGTAATAAAAATTTGGGGTGATTTTAGAGCCATTTTTTTGGAAAAAAAACCATGGGCTATAGCCTTGGGTATTTTTCAAAAATTAGCTCATTAAAAATTGGTCATAACTCAAAAAAAATTTGTCGGAAATGGCTCAAACTTTCTACACGGCATAAGGACATCAATATGTATCAGAAAATGTAATAAAAATTTGGGGGTGATTTCAGAGCCATTTTTGAAAAAAACCATGGGCTATAGCCTTGGGTATTTTTCAAAAAATGACTCATTTCTAAAAATGCCCATAATTTAAAAATATTTGTCGGAATCAGCTCAAACTTTCTACATAGCATAAGGACATCAATACGCGCATGTGTATACCATCTCCTGTCCTATCAAGGAAGTTATCCTCATCACTGTCATAATAGTCGTTCTCTTGAACAACTATTATGACAGATTGAACTGCAAGAACAATACAATAGAAGCATTAGTCATCATAAATGACAATTTATTGAATGCCACTTCCTATGTGCTATTATCACAAACATGCTATAATTAATGTACGCATAGCATTGACTTACAAGTTGATATACATGCTCTTGTGGATTACCAATCTTCTTTATTATCTACAACAATCCTGAGAATGACATTAATTTTACTTAACTATAATACCTGCTCAATATCAATGTGATCCGGTATATTTTGCAACAGTGACGCTCCATAAAAATTCATTTGTTTAAGCCACCTAAATCACATTAAGGGATAACTAATAAATGCAATCTACCACACATTTTGGTTGCATGCACTGTGTATATGCATCGAAAGGTCATTTTTGTTGCTATATTGAATTTAAGAATATACATACAACAACTCACTCATACAATCCTTCATCACTTGACATCATGTCAGTACAGTCAATAGTTGGTAGAGTGTCCTATAGTACTCATGAACTGAATACAAATTACTATTAACTTACTGTTACAATTGGCTTTGAGCTTTCATTCTTCTTATCAAAAGCATTTGGAAAAGAGTAATCAAATTCCTTCAACCACTTCACATCAAACGAACAAGAGTGAGGGCCTTTAGCTGAATCCCACTTCACATGAACAGACCCTGCATAGAAACCAGTCGCTAATAACAACCTTCCCAACAAAAATTAACAATGAACACAACTAATTTACATATTAATTTAGCCCTGGATTGATTACAGATCTATTACTATTACATTTACCATCATCAACAGAAGCCTCCTTGATACTTAAGTCCACCAGTTTACTATGATGGACAATATTTTGATTAGAAGACACAACGAGACACTTTGGACATCTACAGTTGTGTCTCAGCCAGACACCATGATACCTTCTCTCAGGCTCACCCTCCACTGAGAGACGGATCTTCTTCCCGTCTTGACTCAC